GATGGAGGATGGATGGAGGATGGATGGATGGAGGATGGATGGAGGATGGATGGATGGAGGATGGATGGAGGATGGATGGATGTAAGGATGGATGGATGGATGGACGGATGGAAAGAGGGATGGATGTAAGGATGGATGGATGGATGGATGGAGGATGGATGGAGGATGGATGGATGGATGGAAAGAGGGATGGATGGAAGGATGAATGAAGAATGGATGGATGAAGGATGGATGGATGGAGGATGGATGAAGGATGGATGGATGAAGGATGGATGGATGAAGGATGGATGTATATTTATTTTCACACCATTTTCTTTTCCTTTTTTATTCTGTAAAACATTGTGATCAAATTCTCTGATTACGTTTAAAACAGGAATAAACTGGAATCTCCTGATCTGGTACCAAGGAGGTCAGGACTCAGCATCCACCCCCCCCACCATCATCATCATCAGGCTACGTAGGAGGAAGCTGAGCACCACCACCATCATCATCATCAGCTCCTGTGAGCCTCTGATAAGAGCGCCTCCTCCTCCTCCTGCCTGAGTCAGCCGGCGCTGGCTTCTCTTCAGGAATCCAAAACTCAGAGCGACGGATCCACAAACACCAGCAGCTGCACCGGAGCCGCTCTCTGCAGCCCGATGCTAATTTACACTCACAAGAAAATAAACGCTCCATGTGCTCCGCATGCAAATACAAGCTAGGTGGTTTGTAGACAGACAGAGAGACGCAGGCCTCTGTTCAAACTCTGACCGCCTAATTAATGAATCGGCTTCTTCATCTTCCTGAGTTACAACTTCACATTTACATTTTGTGTCCCTCTGGGAAAATGTACATGATTATGCAGCGTTTTGAGTCATCAAGCCTCTGATGAATCACTATTAGTCATTTAGATTCTTGCGTTTGCTTATGGAGATTTTAAGTCTCTCCTGTTGCTTTTTGAGCTTTCTTCCTTCTTTCTATGCTGAATCTGCTGCTCACTAATTATTTTTATTTCCAAAATGCTTTCATGCTCTAATTATAGTGACTTTGTGACTTCTTTAAATCTTTTATAAATTCTCTCACAGTTGATATTGTTCCAGTTCCAGGTGGTTTAATCATTTTAATGATAGCTGTAAATATAAGGTTGTTTATGTGAGGAGCTATTTTCTGATCTATAAGGTCAATGCACATCTTGGTGACTAAAATGGCACCATCTATTGACCGTATAACTGCACAATTTGACATTTTGACAATAATATGGAAATACGGTAATGTCAAAAAGCATTTTATTTTTCCAATAGGACGAGGCATTTTTTTAAAAAACCCAATAGAAACCCTTTTTCTACGACAGGAATCATGTTTATTAATGACTTATTGCATAAACAAATGTATTCACTTGTGATTTTTAATTAATTTTGAAATTAATTTCAAAATATTTCTAGAAAAAAATGGTCATTTCTGAGGTTGAAAAATTGAAAATTTGCAAGGAAAAAAATTAAATTAACTTCAGAAATTTTCAAGAAAAAGTTTCAAAAGTCAAAAATGTTCAACTTTTGAAACTTGTTTTGTACGACAGGAAGCAATTAGAGAATTATGTTCATTAATGACTTATTGCAAGAACAGACGCATTCACTTGTGATTTTGCGTTTCTTGTTTAATGGAAACACAGCAATTGTGAAATTGTATTTTTAGAAAAGCCGCTTATGAGGAATTCATTTTTATTGTGTTTTTTTTACTATTATTGACTGAAAGGTACTAGAAACTTTGAGTTAATTTAAAAGAAAATACATATTTCAGTGTGAAATAATACTGTACTAGTCACTGAAGAAGTCAGAATTTTAAAAATAAAGACAAACAAGGAAGATTTTTACAACAGTAACAAAGAGATAGTTGGAATAGAATAAAACAATGAACTTTATGACCAAACCATATGTGATTTTTAATTTTAATTATAATATTAATGAAAAACAGATTCTAATTTGACATTATATAAAATATTTCTTTGCGCTCTTGTTAAAATCTTTAAAAACAACTCAATTTAAAAGTTTGTTTTTGTTTGTGGTTTATGCATTTGTTGAAAACAGGCCAGAATGACCTGATTGACCCGAGTGAATCGGTACAAATAATCAATGCACATCTATTCCTCTATCAGCTCAGCTGCAGCACAATCTGCATGCTGTGAACTTTTCTATCTGTTCATCTGATAACCGGCTGGTGCAACAGGACTGCACTCAGCAATCAGTTACACATAAAACAACTGAGCGACGGGAATATTAAACCAGCTATTTAGTGACAAGAGACTTATTTAAAATGCCTTTGTTGCACATAAACATAAACAAATTAAATGGGTTTCTTATTAATCATTTGTAGGTTAGATACCACATTTTATATATATGAGAGTAAAAATGTTTGTAACAGGATCTTAAAATGTAATTTAAGGTAAAATGTTGCGAGTGTTTATGTGAGTTAAAGAATGCTGAATGTTTTTAAATTTTTAAAGATATTTCCTCTCAGGGAAACATTCGACTGATTTAATGCGAACTGAGTGGGATTAAAATTTAATATTATTATAACTTATGCAGGGCTAAGTCATTTTTTATCCATCTTTAAATGAGTACAATGGGTTTATATCATCTTATTTTTACTTTTAAACAAATAAGAGACACAAAGTGACATGGCTGCACACGGTTCTTACCTGTTCCCAGGAACAGCACCTGGTAGTTCCCGTCTGCAGCCATGACCTGGTCCACCGCCACCGCCGTGTACCTGTAGCTGGCGCCGGTGCGGACCACCAGGGGTCTCCGTCCCACCGGGTAGATGGCGTTGAACATGACCGGATGGTTGCGGACAAAGTTCACCACGTCATCTGGGAATTCCTTCGTGGTGTGAATGTCGGGAGTGAAGGCTCCGCCGGGACACTGGAAACGCAGTTTATACAATACATAATATGAATAATATCACAGGTTTAAACCAATAAAATCTCTCCTATTATCCATGGAGTCATTTAGTTTGATTTCCATAACAGAACGGCACTCAAAGTATCAATAATATTTACTTAGATCTGTTTTTTCTTCATCTTAGACTGGAAATGATCTTGCAAAAACAAAATCTTCTCAAGTATTTTTGTTTAATTTCTTGTGCATACTTCGTAAGCTAACTTAAAGTATCATTTCAGCAAAATATAGGAGCCAACAATTCCTTAATACTGATGAAAAAGTACAAGTTCAACTGGCAGATTATTTCAAGAAAGAAAGTAAAAGAATAATAATAGTTTCTTACTGAAAAGTTGTAAGTTAGTCCACTTGAAATAACAAAAAATAAGACATTAGCAGCAGAAATTAGACCTAAAATACTTAAGATTTTGTATTTTTGCAGTGTAGTTTATAAACAATTATGAGAAAAAATAAAATAAAGTATATTCAAAAGGTCATGTAATAACTGTAAAGGTCGCAACCCTCTGATTTAGGTTCAACGTCACAAAGTGCTGCAGGTTTTTAACTCCAACATGTCTGACTTGTTCGACCTTTTTCTAATTTCCTCTAACTTTTAGAATCTTATTGGCTGTTAGTTTTTGTTTTACCACATCATCAGGATCTTGTGGTGACTCAGTTGCTTTTCTATCTTTCCGCCCTGGCACTGTGTTGATGAAAACTCCTCCGTTCATATAAACTCACGAAGCAAATTAAATTAGTCAGCTTTCCCTTTAAAGTCCCATACAAGCAGTGATGATGCACTTATAGATATAAAACTATTAATAATCACACAAATATGGAAAATATGTTATTTTATATTGTTTCTTCCTTTCTTCCTCACAAAGTTTTCAATTATTATGAGATTTTACGCTGCACTGATCTGGAACAAACTCCCAGAAAACTGCAAAAAAAACCGAAACACAGATGATGGCGTTTGACAAAATGTGATGTTTATTCCCTGTGTTATAAATTTAAACTGTCCTGCTGCTTAAATGTCCCATACAAATAAACTTATAAAGGATTATTTTGTTTTTTAAACTACAAATAGCCATGATGAGAATGCGTCTTACTGTGCCGGGCCTCGGGTAGGGGATACGGCCCTGGAAGGCCACCCACTGGAAGTTGGGTCCGTCTCTGTGAGCGAACGGCCCGTTGAACACGGTCAGGATGTCCGCCATGTTGTACGCACACACTGCTGACCCTTTGAAGACGGAGCTGCAGGAATAAAGTGCATGTATTAAATTAAAAACCGCAGCCGGTAAAAAAATCCCCTGCTGTTCTTCATTTAACAACAACGTCTCAGAGGATGTGCGAGCGAAAAAAAAGCCTGAAAGGAAGCGTTGTCAGACGCCACTGAAGGCAGATCACCTACTTCCTCTTAAATATGGGATGTGGCTTGGCTCAGATATTAAAAGCAGCTCATAAAATAACATATTTGGTGGGAAAAAGAAACTGAATCTTACTGTGGAGAGTCAGAGGAAACAATATCGATGGTTTCTACGTTACGGTAAACTCTTTATGAACCTGCTGTGAATATCAGAAAACACCAAATATGGATCAAGTGACTTATTTTTTTCTACAAGCAATGCGATTTTTTCATCAGTTTTTAGTTTAAATCTGAGCTGTTCAGTTTATTATGTGCATGTCTTAGTTTTATACCATCATAATAAGTTCTGGCTTAATTTAACGATTCCTTTTTCTTTATTAGGAAACCCTTTCACTTAGACCAGGGATGTCAAACTAATTTTTTTTGGGCCTAATCAAGATCATGGATGTTCTTAAAGGGTCGGTTGTGCCAGAATGTATTGATAAAACCCATTAACAAACTGTTAAAACATTAATAAACAGCTGCACTCAATAAGAACTTCTTAAGATTAAATAACATTCGGCATATTTTGAAACTAAAGGAGTTAGTGAGTCTTTGTCTTTTTGCAATCAAAATCACCGATTTGTGGAACTAATTCAGAAATATCTGCTAAATGTTTTGTAATATTTGTGCATCATTGTAAATGTGACTTCTTGTTTGAGAACAGATTTTTACTTGACATCAAATAAAGTTGAGGAAGCAGTGCAGCAGAAGTAAGAAATACTGCCACCTGCAGGTGGGAATTAGCATCACATAAACACAATGTTTTTAACCACTTTGGTGTAAAATTTGCAGTAAACTCACAACTTAAGCATTACTGTAAAAAAGTGTGGGGATCTGTAGATGATGCAGAAATCACAAAGACTGATATTAAGCACACAACTATTATGTTAAAGGGTTTATTTATGCCACACAAACTCTGTTAAACGATGCAATAGAGCAACGTGATGCGATGGAAGGCCTCCTCTTGTTATCCACTCAGTAATTAACAAAACCTCAGAGAAATGCTACAGCATCAGCCTCACCTTGTGGATGTAAAGACTCCAAACACCAGCAAGCCTTTGGGCTGATCCGTCTCCAGCAAAAACACGCTCTCTGTAAGGACAAACAGATGAACATTCCCAAACGTTTCCCTCCGCAGCCTTCAAGTCTCCAGCGAGTTCTGGACGCAGTGAAAGCTTTCCTGTCTCGACAAGAAGGGAACCGCTGGTGTGCTCAGGAAATAAGAACAAGCTCAGCAAAGGCAATATTGTTCACAGATCCGACGATCTTAAATCAGAATCCAGGTTAAACATCGGATGGTCGGTGGGGTGTTTATGGAAAAATGAACTGCTGGAAGACTTTAAACTGTGAAGGCAGGAGTTTAAAAGTAATGACGGATTCGGTTTTTGGCCAACGGCAAAGGATGTTGGAGAGTGTCTGACCGCAAAAACACAAAACTGGCTTTTCAGCAGGATACACACTGCAAAAACATAAAATCTTACCAAGTAATTATGGTCTAGTTTCTGGTTTTCTGCAAATAAGACAAAACTAACTTACAAGTAACTTTTCAGCAAGATATAGAAGCTTGTTTTCAGTAAATAATTCCTTAATATCGATGAAAAACTATTAGTTCTATTGGCAGATCACATAATGTAATAGGTTAAATAATCTGCAAATAAAACTAGAACTTTTTCACCAATATAAAGGAATTATTGACTCCAAATAAAATCCTATATCTTGCTGAAAATGTACTTTAAGTTAGCTTAGAAACTAAACCAAAAATACTTTTGTGTTTTTACAGTGCAGGAGCTTTTTTGAGTCAATAATTGTCTTATATTGAGCAAAAGTACTAATTTAATAACAGTTTTTAATCACTTACAAGAGGAATAAGTCGTTTTTAATCAATATTAGGGAATGATTGACTTCTATATCTTGTTAGAAAGTTACTTTTAAGTTAGTGTTGTCTTGTTTCAAGTGTACAAAAATATTTGCATTAGAAATTAGACCAAAAATGCTACAGTTACAGAACATAAAGTGTCGTTTTCACCCACCCAGTTCATCAAAGTGTGTTTCGGTGCCGTCGTCCTCCAGAACCGAACACACCATCCTGGCTTTCAGGAAGGTGGTCCACTTGTTGACGAGGCTGCGCTGCCCTCCGGTGTCATTCTGCAGACAGAAGCTGCAGATGGAAACTCCGACCCGCGAATTAAAGAGTGGATTTACTCTGATACTTACAGGACACACTCTGGCCACCATGGTGTGGATGTTTTTAGTGTTCCCGTCGTTATCAGTCAACCTCTCGCGGAAGAAAAAATACAACTTGGCATCGTTTGGGTCAGTCCCGTCTGGAATGAGCTGGGCATCAATGAAAACTGGTTCTGAATAAAACAGAATAACAGGGATTTTTATTATTTGACACAATGATTAAAGGCGATTTCTTGCTTTGTTTAGTTTTCTCACCACTGAGCCACTTGGAGTTGTGCTGATCTGTTCGCACTGCATTTCTCTTGGTCAGGCTCCTGAAGATGGCAGCATCTGTCCCCATAAAGTCGATGTACATGCCTGAGAACAGCTCCTGATCTGCAGCAACGCACAGGCACCAGATTATTCCAGCAAGTCAGAATAATAAATACAAAGCAGAAATGGATACCCAGAGTGAAACATGCCAATGTTTTCCATCATGAATGTTTTCATTTGGCAAAAATGACTTTATTATGCAGCAAAACACCTTTTCAGACTGAAAGTTTGGGGTTTTATGAAGGATATGAACACAAACCAGTGCTTACTTGTGAAGGAAAAAGGAAAATAATAAAAAATCTGGTTAAATCTCAACTTTGACTGGGACCTATGATGCCAAATTAATATTTTTTTGTATTTCTATTTAGGTTTCTGCTGCTTCAGTCTTTTCTAAAAACAATCTGCTTTTTTAAAAATCCACACAGCAGAAAACTAATAGATTATATGAATAGTACAAACATAGAAATGCTTCTTAAATTAAATTTCCTCAGATTATTATTGCACAGAGACAGCATGGCAATAGTGAGATTAGAGCAATTCTGATTTAAGATCGTTCCTATCTTTTTAGCATAGAAGCAGCATTCAGCTTCTATACAACACAAATCTGGAACAAACCTCCAGAAAACTGAAAAACAACTGAAACTCTGACTTCCTTTACATAAACACTAAAAACCTATGTGACTAGAGTTGATTTTGAGCCATGAGCTAAATATTAATCACAAGATCTGATGTGTATTGATGGCACGTGGCTAAATGTAATGTTTATTGATTTTCTCAAATGTTGACTATGTGATGTCTTCTGTAACTTTGTATTTTTATGACGTAAAGTACTTTGAAATGCCTTGTTGCTGAAATGTGCTACACAAATAAACTTGATTGATTGATTGATTGATTGATAAAGCCAGAGTTACAATGGCAATGATCAAAGCATATTTAGGTCAAGAAATGGTCCAGATTCAAATACAATTGAGAAATTGTTGCTGTTTAGACACTCTATTCAAGTCATTTCTTGAATATGAATGGGCAAAAAAATCTCTAAATGTGCAAAAAGCCCAAGTTTTACAGTGTATTAACTTGAATAAAAATGCACATCCATCATGTCAAATCTCAAAATACAAGAAAGTTTGAAATTATAGCATGACAAAAAAGCTCAGTTTGTTTGGATATTTTGCAAGGCAATGATTAAACCTCACACACAAGCTGGGTTTGCTAAAAAAGCTTTGATGCCGATGGCACGTGGACGGTCACAGAGGGTCTAAAACCTGCTGATTAACAAATTAAAAAGTGATTTAATTAAACCCAGAAGCTTGGTTATATCCTCTGCCTTCATTCCTTCCTTCCTTCCTTCGCCCTGCAGGTTATTCCACTCTGGATCACCGTTTCGTGTGAGGCTCCTCTCCTGGCTCGAAAGCTGCTGGCACGGCAATGCTCAGGTGTCGGAAAGCCGAGCTACGGTGCAAAGTGTCGCCTAAAACGCAACCCAATACCCCTCGACCAATCAGATCAAAGGACTCGATGAAGACATCAACTCCAAGGACTGTTGGCATTTGGTTGGAAATTTAAGTTAGGAAACAAAAAAAAACTATCAAAATGGTGGAAAACTTTGTAAAAATATAAATGTAGAACTAGAATCACTTGTTTATACACATTTTAGAGGAAGATGTGGTCATTTGTGTAAAAAGAATTTGATAAATAAGGAAATTATTTAAAAAAAACAACCAAACTTTAAACCTCAATTACTCATTAAAGGTTTACAGAAACATTTACAAATTGGTCAACCAAAAGCACATAATTTAACACAAACAGACTGTTTTTAAGTCATTACATCTGCAGATCGAGCTTTTAGACTTAAGACTGTTTCTCTTTTGTTTCAAACATCTGTTACAATTTTTAATATTAAAACTAAACTTACATCTGATTTTGTGTTTGCTACTGGCCTGAAAAAATTTAAATAAATATTGTATAATGTTGTGTCAACAGGCCATATAAGGCTGAAGCCACATATTTATGTACATAATGTGTCACTGTTCAACATTTTACCAGACTGAACTGACTTTTCCTGTTTCTGGCCTCTTAAAATCAGTTATTTTTTTCTCATTTTTAAATGCAGAGAACTTTTTTGATACCACACGGGTACAAACTAGTATTAATAGGTGTTTTAACACTTTTGGATGTATTACAAGTAAACACCTGAAATGCACAGCTTTACTGTGTCACAACAAGGGAAAAAAAATCTAAAAAAATTGGCAAATATTTCAGGAAGAGAAGTGTGGGCTTTCACAAACCTCACCGGTTGCAATTTTCCGATGCCTGAAGGCGCCAAAAACAAAAAATATAAACAACATGGGCATATTTTATGATCCAGACATAAAAATGTGCAAGACAAAAACAACAAACCTCACAAAGAGGCTAAATTAAGGCGATTAGATTTATTATCCACAGTGAAACTGATCCTGTATTGTAACATCAAAAAGCTAATCAAAAGTTATTAAAAACAGATTAAATTACTCTCTAGACACATCTTGTCTGATTAAACTAAATTTTATGTTTCAAGTCATAATGACCTCTTTATTTTATTTCTCCAAATGATAAAGTCTGAGAAATCCATCTTAATGTGAAGCATGGAGGTGGCAGCATCATGCTGTGGGGGTGTTTTGCTGCACTTCACACAACAGAAAACATCACGAGGACAGCAAACTGATTGGAAATATTTAGAGAAAATCTCAAGACAGGAAGTGAATATAAAAATGTTGAAAAAAATCAAGAAAAATGTAACCAATTAATGAGATAATTCTGAGTAATTTACTTCAGTTTAGACTTACTATAAGCATTTTACTTATTTAGGAGTCTAATTCAAAACAAATGAGGCAGACTTCTGAGTAGCTGCAGGTCTGAAAAACATCTTAATGCCTGAACTCTGACGACAGCATTTCTGCTGTCTGTCCCATCTGGACAAAAAGCAGCACAAGCAAATTCCTGACAACCCGCTAACCGCCTGCAGGCGAAACTGATCACTGTTTTTATTGACATTAATGGAAGATAACGAAACGAAGATGAAGGAAAGCACCTACTGATCATGACAGAGACTGTGTTGACTTGAGGATTGAAGGAGCACCTCCCTTTTCCTGATTCCATCTCCGAGTCGACGTGAAACACTTGCTCCTGTTGCAAAGAAACAGAGAAAGACAGAGAATGTGACGGGATTTTTCTGCAACGGCTTCGTTCGTTTACAGCCAGATTTTCCTTCCATTTGGTTTAAATAACGCACAGAGACCCAGACCTTCGTCAGTTTACCTTAACCGGCCCATAAGGGACACTAAAATAACATTCCACTTTTGTGCAGACAAGGAATTTCCCTGCTGATGTGTTGGACGGCCGTCTTTCCAACTCAGGCGGATTTGCTGCCAAACTGTAACACCCTGCTAGTGGCAGAGGCTCAACAGGCCAAGAGCAACCTGGGTGAATGATAGCACTTCCTGTCCCATCCATTAGGATGCGGCTCGCCGGATGACATCAGTTAGGAAGTATTAATCCAGGAAAATGTGTGTGTTTGCCAAAAGCTTATGGAGGTGGACGCAGTGCAGCTGGCAGATTCCTGGAACGGAGATTAAAAACGACTCCTGCTGAATGTTTTAGTTATCTACCGGGACTTGACCTGGATGTTTGATTGTGGTAAGATTTTAGAGGTAAAATAATAAATTCTACCATCTATTTCATGTGGATTTATAATATGACACCATACAAAGACAAAGAGTCACATTTAACACCTTGGATTGACCATTTAGTGCAAAGTTTTCTCTCCCAGTTGATGTTGGCTTCAAGAAAAAAGGTAAAGTGGGAATACAAGCTGTGCAACAAATGGTTTAATGCAAACAGATGTGATATTGTTATATCTGTAAAATATTATTAAGGATGTTGTCATTTGAGGTTATGTTTGAAGCTTCGTAAGGAGGAATAAAGGGATTTTTAGTGGTATGACTAGAGGTTAGATTGGTTGGATTGATCCAAAAGTTGGTATCAGTACTTTAGTAGAGCACTTCTTAAAGTTTGGTTTAATTTTTGTATAAGTTTTCAATGACCATAAAAAAAGACATTGCTTTGATTTTGCTCTCAAATGTTAATTTTTGCACTCAATTTGGAAAACAATACACATTTGTGTTTTTCCCTATTGCTTTATCAAGTCAATATGCTGTTACAGTATTAACAGACACCCATAAACTTTGTCTTAATTCATTCAGTAGTTGGAAACAATGCTATATAAATCAAATATGACAGGAAAGATCATTTGGGATAATTTTAATTGTGGCTAAAGTTGACTTAGATTTTCTCAAACACTCAAATTAGCTTGAAAAAACACAATCTTTTCATTACATTTATAATTATGAATTGTTTGGGGAGACAGTATAGTTTTGTAAAAGGCGATCTCTGATTGCTTCATTTTAAAGTGTTTCTCTGTTCTTAAGAACTAAAAATATTAGTCCCACTTCAACGAAAAGCATCGAGACTAATGGTGTCATATTTCTCCGTTTTAAGTTATATTATATTGTCACAACCCTCATTATTTTGTCAAGCTTTTCAAAGTGGAACATTTGGTGTCATAACCAACAAAGAGAGACGATAAAAAGGGATTTTATGCCATTGTTTAAATCAAGATATTAGATACTGTATATTGGAGTTAAATGTTGATTTCAGACACCGGAGACATCGGGGTTAAAGAAACACTTGGTAATTAGACTTAGAATGAATGAATCTCAACTAAAAAAAAAAGTTATTTATTTGTCAAGCTGCCAAACAACTTGTCATCTCCTTTATATTGAATTTCCAAACACCACAACAAGCTGGGACACCGAACAAACGACCAAGCGGGCAGTTCTGAACTTTCCGCTACAGATCTCTTTTCATGAAGCAGTGACATGATTAAGCTGCGAGCTGGAGAACAGAGCAGACTGGCTTTCAAACCAAAAACCCAAATGACAAAAGGCTCCGAGTGAAGACAGACTCCGGTTTTAACGTTTGGCAGCTAATGTTGTTCTGTTCAGCTCGCTGCATTACAAATGTGCGAAAAATGTCGTCGATATTCCGTGAATGTCGAATAACACAATTTCGCAATTGGATTATTTCCATGAAATACAAAATGTTCACGAGATAAGTCATTAAAAAACCATACCGCGCTACTTCCTGTTTTCTTCTTCTTCGTGGTTCGAGCCAGAGGCGACATCCGGCTGTTGATCACGTGACTCGTGTGACACAAAAAAAAGTGTTTCTACTGTAGTTTTGCGGAATAAACAAATTTTGATACGACCAAAACACTAGCATGAGCCATCTTAGATAGAACAAAAGGAGGAGTACATTTCTGCCTAAAAAATGGAAACTTTGAGTTTAATTTTTTTTTAAATTGCTGAAAAAAACTTTAAATTTTGTGATTAATCTCAGAAATTTTCTAGAAAAATGGTGAACATTTCTGAGTTTCAAAAGCTTAATAAAATCCTCTTTTTTTAAAAATAAAATAAAATTTCTGACAATCTCAGAATTTCTTAATTTTTGGCAGAAATGAGCTCTTTTCTCTATCTGCAATGGCACAATGCCGTCGTAAAAAAAGAAGAAAAAACCCTCAGCAAGTCCTAACTGGCGCGTTTTCATAGAGCGATTTATTTTCAAAATGTCAAGTTGCACAGTTATACAGTCAATGGAAACAGAGCGAGTACTTTTCTGCTGGAGGGCTTCTCTGTCTTTTCTTCTGGTCGGATATGAGTGACGAGAAAAGCGCAGACCTCCAGTTTCTTCTTCTTCTACTCCCTTATCTCACCCAGCATCAAACTGACAACATGAAAACTTGGCACGTATGCAGTTACGGAATCTAAAAACATACGGCAATGCTTAGCTTTACTAATGCTGTGATGTGATTATAGCAATTTGAAATGCAGTAGTTGTCAAACAATTCCTACAGCTCCAGATGTAGTGTTATCCCACAGCCAAAAGTCTGGAAGGGTATTCTTAACAGCCAGTGTTTTTTACTCACTCAGCTGCGGTTGACTAGTTTATTTCCATAATGAAGAGAATCCATCATTTTGAACCCACCTCTGGTCTTCGGCCTCTGTTGATGTACACACAGACGGGGCTGTAGGCTCCACTGCCACACATAAACAGATGAGTTCTGTTGTAAGGCTGCACCACACGGACAAAATTCCCACAGCCGTGCTGGAAAGTGAAACAAAAGACAAGAAAAGTCCAACATGAAAGCGTTTCTTACAACTTTCCAAGCTGAAATAATGAATTTATTATGAAGGAAATACACTGCCATGGTTCTCTTAAACACCTTCCAAAACATGAGGAACTAAATTAAATGTTTTTTTTCCTCTCGTAAATCAAATTCTGGATTTAAATGTTAAATTGCTGCTTTACCCTGGTGGCAAAACTTGGCACAGAAGTAATCCAATGAAATAGAGTGGGAAGAAAAAGGATCCTACACATTTTTTCCAAAATACTTCCTGGTTCTTTTAAACTCATTTTTAAATCGTTGAGATGAAAGTTTAGCAAATTAAAAACAAAAAGGAACCAAAGATTAAAAATAGATGGACGAATGTAATGACTGATTCTCTCATTTTTGTATTTTAGCCAGAGGTTTCTCATTTCTTGTATCTGAATAAAGGGGAATATCCTGCAATATTTATAACAGATGTTAAATACAAAAGTTTCTGCTGTGACAAAATAAAATAAAAAATACTTTTTACTGTTTCCTCTCCCAGTTCTAGTCTGTAAAAACAACTTCTTGGACAGTCTGAAGGAATATCCTTTTCAGAATGCCGTTTTTTTCTGCCGTTTTGAAATAAAAACAGTATTTATCTACATGATCTCAGGGGTTTCTTTCAAAAATATTTAAACATATTCGCTGCAGATCTCAGATTTTGCCAAATGTCCGAGTTACTCTGAATTGGGCCTTGTTTTAATTTTGGCAAGATGGATTTTAACATAATGTAATGTCGCTATTGCTGAGGTTTCCACTGGGGGTTTTTAACTGAAATAAATTTCGTCATCAGAGCTGCTCTAAGAACTTTTATTCGCATCATCATCATCATACATGACAGCAAAGCACAAAAGCATCACTGCCTCCTTTTATAAGATCTCTGCCCAGATATTCTGTCTCTTTCTGGGATGTTTTTCCAGATATAAACACAAGGTGAACGACATTTCCACTGCACATTTATTGCTCCTGAATAATATTCCGCATGAGGCAGTATCTCAACCTTATCTCTGTTATGACTCGCTCGTGATAATATAAACCCAGCAGTGCTCACTGGTGTGGTATTGAGGCCAGTGGAAAAAGAGGATCAGCGAAACTCCCTGAATGATACAACCGCAGGCTGTTTCCGACATCAGGGTGTAAGGTTTAAAAAGTGACCTATAGAACCAGATAAGGTAGGTCTATGGTCTACACAAAACATGTTTGTTACATTTTTTTGCAGAACATTATTGTTAGATAATCAGATTTTATCCTTGAAAACAGAAGCAGAGCCTCCTGGACAGCCTACAAGAATGCAGCAAGTGCTTTCTGGATGGCAAGTCAACAACAAAACATTTGTCCTTTCCAGCAGCCATTGTACAACGCACACAGCAGTAAAACTAGCTGACTAAATGTGCTGGAGCTCAGCTTGGGTTGCTAGGTAACTGTCTGGGGTTGCTAGGTGACGGTAAGTGCCTGCTGATTTGTGACGCCACATTCTAGAAGTTTCTGAAAAGGCTCATTTTCCAGACCCCATAAAACATTAACATTTCCAAAAACTGTCTGGTTGGGTTTTTTTTTTGTTTTTTTTTATGCTTGGGCCGTTTTTGGAAGCAGTAGAAACCAAATGGAAGCACAAAACGTGCAAAAAGTGAATTGTGCATAATAAAACCAGAAAAGTTGGTGTCAGAGAAAGCTGAAGAGTTTTAAAGCTGCCACCAGTAGCTGGTGCTGTGCACTTCAGATCAGCTGGCTGAAAGAAAGCTGCTGCACTACAAAATGGATAAATTCAAAAGTGAGACCATCCTACCAGCCAGTTATCTAGTCTCACACCTTTTGGTTGAAATAACTTCAATTACAACTTTTTTAAAGAGTTTCTTGCATATTTGGGCCGTTTATCAAAATAAGTTAGAAAAACACACTTTCATAATGTATCCTATGACTGCATGTCATGTTTTTTTGTTTTAAAATGTGTATCATGGTATATTTAGTCGATGATATCATAGCATGCTTAGATAAAGCTACATGAAAATCACTGCCAGGTTGTTGCCTCTTAACCAAACTCGGTAGCAGTGGGAGTGATCAACTTTGTTGGTAATTGAGCGTAAGCTTGCAGAAAACGTGCCGAGAAAGAGAGAGAGAGCGGAGCAAAGTGGGGGAGGACAAGAACACGAATCCAGGGAGTCGTCAGGAACTTGGACATGACTCCAGCTTTGGCAGCTGCTGCAGATCTTGGTCAGCGCGCAGAAATCCACCGAGAGCCATTAGTGAGCTGCAACTGAATATTTCACCGACTCACGCCCGTTTCTGTTATCCATCCTCATTTGGTTTGTGACTGTCTATCTGTCCGTCCTGTTTTTCCCTTCGCTTTCATCCCTTGTTCATCTCCACAGAACCACACGAATCCTGCTGCGGTCGCGTCTGATCAGAAGTACAGAGCCGCGTTTATGCATGGAGCCTCATCTTGTTTTACTTTCCTCTTGTGTTTCCCTCTTGACTCCTTCACTCTGAATTCAACGCGATCACGTCGGGTTTTGATTTTTCCTCTGCTGCAAACAATCTCACAACATAAAAGTCTTGCACAAAAATGGAAAAAAAGCGATCAAAACCAACCTGACCAAAACATGAATTTACAGTTTTTTATGACATTTTATCAAAATTGAGTTCAATTGTACAAATCATGCTCAGGAATGATTACAATTGGAACTATGGAATCAAGAAATCTACATGCAATAGTGTAAAATATCGTGAAAAGCATTACAATCTGAACTAAAGAACAGATGAGAAACAAAACCAATATACTTTCAGAAAACCTTACAAAAAAAAATCTGAAAACATTTTTATCTCCAAAGTGCTCCTACAAAAACCAATGATAAGACTGTTTTTTTTTATTTTTGTTCTTGTCTGGGTTTTGCAGGGTTAAGCATCCTGCTCATCCTTGAAAACCCAAAACAATCCTGCAAAGAAGATAAAATTCCTCCACAGTAAAATCTGAAACTAGTTTCAGGCGTTAATTAGTTTTCCCCACATGGTCAGGTTGGTTTAGTTTGCATTTTTTCCTTTATAAGTGAAATCATCATTTAAAAACAGATTTTTTTCTATTTATTCAAGTTATTTCTGTCTTATTTTTGATATCTGAAAGATAAGAAACATTTTCCCGCAGCACAATAGAGATAGGAAGTAGGATTTAAGTTGAGCAAACAACAAAAAGACTCTTTGAGGCAGTCGACCGTGGGAGGCTGAGACAGAAGCTGAGAAACAGCGACAGTAACAGGAAAAGTGATCAAAGAAGGCAGGAATTACAGTCAAACAGTAGAAAGTGGTAAGAAATTAAACTGACAGAGGAAACGGCAGCTCTGGGTGGAGATGGCTCACCCGAATATTTGAGAGAGCGTGTCAGCAGCACACATGCGCTTACTCACAAACGACGCACTTACTGGAAGCTGCTCTCCCTCTATTTTTGAAACAGCAAATGACAGCCTGGCTGTGCAAGTTAAGCTTCTGCTTGCTTTATTAAATTGGTTTAAAATGTGTGTTTCTTTGAGCTAAACCGTTGTTTCTGTTTATCCCCTTCTGCAACCATTTGAGGACAATCCAATTAAAGGAGACCAGATGCGGAGGAGACACCGGTCTTCTGAGGCTCGCCGGATGATTTCATTATAAATCCTGTTGCAGCTAACAAGAAGCAGGGTGCCTAATGAAATCTCTCCATCAGTCAGCTCTGGTTAATTTACGACCTTTGATATATATTCACTCCAACAGGCTTCAGTTTATCTCCAGCTCGCTCATTAAGAGACGAACCAAGCAGGGACTCCAGTTGGTGCCTGGACATAAATCTTCTGCTGGCTACAAGTGTGTTTGGAGTTCGGACAAGCGAACAGATGCTGGAGAAGAATCCCTCAGGGTGGGGAGGCTTTATTTTGGGAGAACAGATTTGGGAACAGGTGACAAAAGCTTTGATTTTGATCTTGGCCATCGTGCCAGAGAAACACAAAGTCCAATCGGTGCTGGAAAAATGAAGTTAATATTCTAGCGACAGCCTCTGTGTTGGCCAGATTAGGGAAACTGAAGAAAAATAATTAAGACTTTTTTCCCTCAAAATTCTGACTTTTTTGTTATTCAGAGTTCTGCTTCTGCATCAATCTATGTCAAAATCCAAAGAAACAACCAAACATTCTCATAAAAATGTTTGACATAAAAAAGTCAAAATTAAAGTCAGAGTTCTGAATTTAATCTCAGAATTCTGACTTTTTTCCTGAAAATTCTGAATTTTTTCCATCAAAATTCTGAACTTTTTCCATCAAAATTCTGAATTTTTTCCTTAAAATTTTGACTTTTCCTATCAAAATCCAGATTTTTTTACTCAAAATTCTTTCTTTTTCTCCCCTCAAATTTCTGACCATTTCTCCTGAAAATTCACTTTTTCCCCCTCAAAATTAAGTCGTTTTTAATAAAATTTCTAATTTTTAACAAATATTTTACTTTTTCTTCCTCAAATTTCTAACTTTTCCCCCTCAATATTCTGACTTTTTCCCCTCAAAATCCTTTTTTATCAAATTTCTGATTTTCTTTTTCAAAATTCTGACTTTTTTCCTCAGAATTCTAATTCTGTGTCAACTTATGTCAAAATCCAAATAAATAACCAAACATTCTCAGAAAAAAAGAATTGTGAATTTATTTTATTATATCACATCTGTGATATAATAAAATAAATTTACAATTCAATCAATGAAGGACACAAAACAAAATATGTCAGGTTCTTAATATTACATCTGCATACAGTTTATATCAAAACCTTAAACATAACTAACCTTTGATAAAGTGCTGAAAGTGAAACATGTAGATTTTTGCATGAGTTAAACTCGATGTTTCTCTCTGATTTGTTGCATTTGTTATCACTTCATATTGTCAAACCTAAAAAACAAAAAGTTACACATGAGGTTCTTACTGTAGAGTCCTTTCCTGCCATTTGACATTCTTGTATTTTGCTTGTAGATGCAGGCCAAAACAACTGTATGCGAAAAAAAAACAGAGCAACGCATTAGATTGTAAAATAAAAACACAATTGACGGTTTTAAAATAATGCACTTTCATAACTCAGTGTGAGTAATTGCAGCTTTCATCTGCAGAGAATGTGTTTGGACCGCCGGAAAGGGGTTTAAAGGCCAAGCAAAAATGAATATATCATGCAATTTACTGGAGGAAAAGAAGTGGGTGCAGCGTGGGGCTCTCAGGGGAAAACCAAATGCTTTCCCATCTGTTTATCCACTTTATGCCTGTCAATTACACAGAAGATAATTCCTTCACTGCGTTCACAATTTGCTATAAGAGCACTTTGGCAGTTTCATGGCTTTTCCAAATAACCCTAAAATTGCACTGATTATGGCAAATATGAGGCAATTTGCATATAACCAACAATTATTATAATCAGCAGCAATTGTAGCAAATAGTTTTTTCCCGTTTTTGAATCTTGTTTTTGGGGTAATAAAGCCATGGACTGCAGAGGAGGAAGCGGTTTTCCTCGCGTGTTAACTCAAACCATCTGCTGACCTTAAGTGTGCCATGGGTGATGTTGTTGAGGTCCATGGAGAGAACATGGTCCTTGCAGCCCACGTACATCCTGTCCTGGTCCTCATCCATGTGCAGGATCCTGTAGTCCATGGCCTTATCAGATATACTGAAGTGTTCAAACGACTGCGACCCCTTCAGATCTGCAAGGAACAGAGAGACTGTAAAAAGAAAAGTTCAAATAAACCGAGATGAAAGGAGCTTCTGAGGTAAATTCCTAATAAACAGATAAAAAAGGAGAAAACTTAATATTGAGGCTTTCAGGATTTGACAGCTGTTCTTTAAATACGCCTTAAAACAGGAGAAACTACAGATGCCACTAGATACTGACTTGGCACAAACTGCAACAAAAGCAATCCCTCCATCTACAATATAGTACCAAGAAGTCAGTAGATATAAAAGCAAACCTTTTTTGTTCTGTCAAGCTCAAGTAACAACCTAATCTCTTCTGAATACAAGAAGCACATGAAGCAGGGAGCGTTCTTGACGCAGACAAGGCTGTAGTCATGACCACTTAAGGTGATTCCTAGACTAGATAAAGTCTACGGTTGGAGATAAAGTCAAGACGAAGCTCAAACAAGTTCAAAGCCAAGTAGAATCTGAGCCCAAAGAAATAAAACGGCAGCTTTATTATCCCTTAAGCTGCTGCTGAGTGCGGGAAAACTCGAGTCGAAGGGTTTAGGCAAGTTTCAAACGTGAGAGGAGAGCAAAAACGAAAAAAAGAGAGAGTACATATAGAGGGGACAGATTTCTGGACAGTGATTCATCACTGGTTCGTGGGAAATCCAGACCTCCAGATTATTTTAGGGAATCCTCCGAAAGATTTCTGACACGCTGATAAGGCGCCTCAAACTCAAGTAAGTTGCGATGTGTTCCTAAAACTAAACATGTGGTTCATCTGACCCACGTGTGTCAAACTCGAGGCCCAAATCCGGCTCCCATACCCTTTGGTACCAGCTGTCAAGAAAGCAGTTTGCTTAAATATCATTTGATGAATCAATTCAAAGCAGTTTTTATCTATTTTCTATTAGATTTCATCAATCAGTGCATCCAGTTTCCTGAGAATTATTGTAGAAAAATCAACAAATCTCCACACTTTTTCATGCTAATGCATGATTGTGAGTTTTTCACAAAAATGGTCAAAAACATTTGGGTTTAAGTGATGCTGACAGCTGCCTCAACCTCAACTGCTGTCAGACAAGATTACATTATTTATACGGCGAGAAACAAAAAGTCACATTTACCGTCAGACATAAATGTTTTTATATATAAGTACCTCAAACACTTTAATTTTTATTGCAAAAAAATCATAAAAACATTTGCGAAACCCTGGAGGGACTGAAAATATTTTTACCTTTTTTATGATTGTCTCCTTAAATAGTGTACATAATTTACTACAAAAACATGAACTGATGCATCATGGTTTAAACAAGTGGAAATAAAATTGGTTTGTTTATGAAATGTTAGTAGGACGAGAAGAAATGTGTAGAAAGTGGAGTCATCAGTTGGCACAGGATTGTTTTTAAAGAGATTTTCTTTGACACGAAAGCTCAGATGCACACAAAAAGGTTCCAGATGGAAGAAGTTCGCCAGGAAGTCTGAAACTCGTCATTGAGCAACATGGTGAATGACTCTGGCTTTGCTGATTGAATTAAAGGGAAGTCGTGATTTCGTGGCTTGTTAAAAGTTTGTCACTCGTTGAATGGTTCACACAGCCACCATAAACGGCCTCAGACAGTTATTTTCAGCCTGTTTGCTCCACAGATAGAACATTCCTAACCAGAGGCCTTCATTATTGAAGCCAAACTCATGCATATTTATCACTTTTTCAATCTGCTCTGAGAGCGGAGGCCGGGGGCGGCAAAGCAGATCCACAGCCTCTGTTTCCTCTCCTGTATTGACCCTCTCTTAGCGCTCTTTGTGTTCCCTCCTCTAATCAACAGAACAGGTTGGTTGTTCTTTGCCACAATCCCTTAAGCTAAAGTCACATTTTCCTGATTGTGTGGCATATGCTTTTGAGGTTTCGGCCTTTTATCTTTTGGTAAAGTGGCTTTTTTCTGAGGCGCCCCTCTCTCCCATCAGGGGCGGTCGGTCGCAGCGTAAGGCTTGAAGTGTTTAACTTCACATAAAGGCAAGTTAACCTCTTCAGGAACAAGAACGTTTCCCACGGCTCTTCACTCCCCACTTCAGCTGCGCTTTAGGTAAATTGCCTCATCTTGAGCTCAAAGGCAGTCTTACAGGAAAGAATAGTCAGAAATTGAACTTTTATTCTTACAGAGTCAACAAAAAGAAAATATACTGGAAAAAAACAGCCATTTTATATATATGTATGTATTAAGAGGCCACTTAAAATGATCTCTGTTTCTTTGATTTTACTTTTTATAGGTATATGTTTGAATAAAATGAATATTGTTTTGTGTTTTTATTCTATGGACTTGTGACAACATGTCTCTTATTTGCAGAAAAAGAGAAATGGTCATAATATTGAAAAAGATGTGCTTTCATACCTCAAATAATGCAAAGAAAACAAGTTCATATTCATTTAGAAACAACAATACTAATGTTTTAACTTAGGAAGAGTCCAGAAATCTAGATTTGGTGGAATAACTCAGAGGTTTTCAATGCAGTGGTCTCTTAATTTTTTCCAGAGCTGCATATGTTCATATATTGCAAATTAACTCCTGGCCACACCCCCCAACTCAGAGTTTACACTCGCACATGAAAATGGCTGCAAACACATGCGTAGTTATGCAACTGTGCATCTTTGAAAAGCATACGTGGGGCCTCCTGCACAACCAACATGATTGCATCAAGTGGTTTCTGAAAGGTAAGTCAACAAAAAAAAAAAAAAAACTCCTGTCTTTTCTAGCAGCCATTGTACAGTGCATAAAGCCAGCTGACCTAACTTGTTGGAGCTCAGGTTGGGTTGCTAGGTAACGGGCTGGGCCCTGCAGGGGGTAACAGGCTGGGGTTGCTGTTTTCCTGCTGGCTTGTACATTTCAGAGTTTGGTTAAGAAAAAGAGAGATAATTGGATTTTTGCAGCTCATATGGGTAACTATTGTTTTTTTTGTTTTAAATTAAAATTTTGTTGTTCATTTTTGTGTCAACAGGTTACAGTGAAATCATGGTCCTTTTTTTATTGACCATGTTTTAACCAGCATTTACTTAAGAGTTCAAGAAATCTTTAAAAGAAAAGCAAAAACATTGGAAAGAAAGTTTCATGCAGTTCAGGTTTAGGTTTTTAAATCAGAGACAATGTGTGAAAATATCAATAAGAGATGCTTTGCGCCATGTTTAGCTTAAGATAGCTTCCATCTGGAGTTCTAGGTTTTTGTCTTCCCCACCAAAAACAATGTTAAGCAATAAGCCGAGCCAGACAAAGAGCATTTCAAGTAAAACGGACAGAACCGCTCCAGAAGATTCCACCAGGGAAACAAATTGTTCTTGCAGGGGTGTGGTGACTTCTCAGCATTATGGCAAACTCTCTTTTGTTTCCTCATTGAAGGGGGGGAATCGGAGACATCATGTTCTCTTGTGAGGGTGGGAGGCCAGTTAAGCGTGACGCTGAGATGCGATGCAGCAGGGGTGTGTCCGCTCACAAAGAGCCAAATGGAAACCCTGCAGAGTCTGCGTGCCGTTGGATCTGGTATCTCTCTGCCTTCAGCCTCATGCAAACACACGAGTCACTCCCACTGCTGCAGCATTGTAGTCCAGCACCGAAAGTTCAGCTGGCCAAATGGAGCACCTGCTCTGACGGAGAGACAGCGGGACGCTGTAAACAACCAAGACTTTCCAGGGTCGCACAGTACACCCAATCCGTGTGTTTACAGAATATCTGCCAGCTCATAACCTCGGTCTGAGTCTGACTAATCTGGCCAGGTGTTGGGGTTCAATTGCACCCCAAGACCTCGATGTAGCAATTTTATTTATGAGATTTCCTGAATGCTGCGTTTAAAAAGGCTGTAGTGTTTTTGTTTATGCTGCGTGTTTGGGGATAAAAGGAATTTTCAGGAGTACATGACGCTCGTTAGTTTGGTTTATTTGCATTCCTCAGGGTTGAGGTCACTCCCTAGAGGAAAGACTGTCAAAAATTAACGAGGAATTGCTGTAAATTGTCTTGTTTTGTTAGGCGTGGATTAGCAGAGGATAGTGACGATAAAATTACACTCTTGAGCTAATTTCCTGTTTTAAAAAAAGTCAAATCGATGAAAATGGAGTGAGATAAGAAGGAAAATTAGAAAAGAGGAGGAAAAAGCAAGGCTTAAGGTTGACAGCTGGTGGGTTTTGTATTATGCATGCTGGCAGGTGGGCCTTGTATCTCCCTACAGACCTCACAGCAGTCTCCTGTGTCTTGCCTTTGATTATGAGCTTTGACCCACAATATCCTATTGGCTCCATTACAGACGGGTTGTGATGCAATCCGATTGGATCAGCATGGTGGACGGCGCAGTTAGCAGAAAAGGGCAAGTTGGTGACGGGAGAATTGAGAGTTCAGCTGAGTTGAAGCTCCACAAAAGCCTTTTGTTTCGCCAAGATGCTGCAGAGGTCATCCAATTTTAAACAACAGATTGCTGTTTCAGCTGCAGATGAGGTCATATCACAATTTACTGCTCACTTGTTGGTAGGCATCATCACATCAGAAGGGCTTAAAGGGACATTTGACTGTTGAATCTATGTTTAATTGGCTAAATTATCAGAGAGCTGCAATTTTAAGCCACCCTTGGCATTTTATGTCAGCCAGAGATGCTCACAAGTCATTTTATACAAGAGAACAATCAAGTATTTAAGTCAAGACTCAAAATTTAAACTTGGCTTGGTGTTTTCTCTCAAAAATGGAGAGACAAGTCCAAACTAACTCTCGTCTTTGAGGAAGATCCAAATCCCAAATTTTACAAACCAAGCCCAAATCAAAGTTCAAGTCTTTTAGCGGCAAGTCCAAGCAAAGTCTTGGTCAAGTCTCAGTTTTTTGAGAGGAAACTTCTTCAAGTCAAGTTCAAAATCTGAGACACAAGTCCTAGTCAAGGCTGAAGTAATTCACTACAAGTCCAAGTAAAACCTAATTTCTTTCAGGAAAAGCTCTAAATCAAGTTTCTAGTAAAGTCTAAGTCAGGTCTCGAGTCTTTCAGAGTCAAAGTCAAGAGT